CATGTAACAGTTGCTAATTTTTATATTACATTAATCAAAATTGCTGTGGCAATTAATCGCCTTCCCAATTCCAATATTCATTTACATAATAATATATCCGGTACGTTAAATCATTTATAATTATTCTACCTATTCGTTAAACATTCGAGCTACTAAACTCGCAGGATTATAATCAAGATTTCCTGAATTCAACCATTGAGAAACGTTATTTGTTTTGCTTGGTTCTTCGATGAATGAATTATTGCTACCAATAAATGCTGGACTTGAAAGATCGATAATTTCTTCGATTAATAAATTATCCCCATTTATTTCATCTAGTTGTATAGTGCTAGATTCAGAAATTAGATTAAATGAATCAGCAAACTCATCATCAAATTGCTGTTTTGTATATTCTAACTGGCTGGCATTAATGGTTGATCTATTTACACTATCCCTCAAGTCACATTCTGATAATTCTCTACCATAAAAAGACAATTCTTCATTAATATTTGTATAGTAAAAAGATCGAATTTTTGCAATTGCTTCTAACCGAAACATGTTAAGTCTTATTCTTCTATCCCCAAATAGCCATTTAAGTGTGGAAAAATTTCTTTCGCACATGGCTTGTGATGGTGGGATAGAAAATATCTTAATAGCAAGCTCTGATAATGGTTCCTTTTTAGCATCAACAGTGAGCCACCATTTTAATGGTAATTCTTTTTCTTTTTTGAATAGTTGTGTGTAAGGTTTTTCCTTATATTTATATGAATGAAGTTCTGTTAATAAGTCCTCACATGATGTTTCATTATACCTTAAATCCTGCCACTTACTGGCAGCAGTTTCACAAATACTATAAAATTGGCCCAGTTTTAATCTAATGCTTAAATAAAATTTTAATTAAAATATATAATATAGTTAATATTAGCACTTTAATATTTATATATGCAATATATATACTAAATTATTACCTCGATATAGTGGATGTAGAAAATATGCAAGTTGATATAATAGGATTGCAAATTCTTGAAATCGCAAGTTATATATTTTTATAGCTTTTGATTTAAATATATTGGAATTGGGAAGGCGATTAATTGCCACAGCAATTTTGATTAATGTAATATAAAAATTAGCAACTGTTACATG